AAAGACGGAGATAATAACAAACCGTAATTTGTTGTTGTTTAAATAAAATTTGCGTTTTCCAAGTCAACCCCTTTCGCGTACGAAATGAGCACAGCCCTCCGCCATTTTAAAGCGAAGTTATCGCTAGTCCACACAACACCCCGCCTACTGTGTGATATCATGAAGTCGCAGTTTACGCAACCCTTTCATGGCACGTTAGGTGAACTAAAAATGCGAACGAACGAATTTTAAGCGGGTTTTAGGCTGGGTCGTCATTTGCAAAAACTGCGGGCAGAACGATGGGGGTTTCAGTATTGATTTATAGAAATATATTGATTTAAACGCGAGGGGTAAAAAAGGCGGTCTACTTTCTGCATTAATTGCAAACCCGAACGCGTGCTTATTACTAAAATTAATGTAAATGTCTAACCTATTTTAAGACGTTGCCACTTATCCAAAAGGGTTGAATCCTTGCACAGGACAATTTTACACCACTACACTCAACGCGCCATGTCAGCAATCTACCATCTCTAACCCGCTTCGGATTTATTCGGGGTAGTTCGGGGTTGCTAAAGTATGGGCGCCGAGATTTAAATTGTAAGAATCCCCAGGATCGCCTTTAAACAGGCCGTGTTTGTATAAATTGATAACTGATAAGAGGATAACAATAAAGAAATAGCGCGCATGTTTCTCGCCGTCCCTTCTTTGCACGGATATGTAATAAAAGCTCCGTTATATCAACATTTTTCCCCCGGCCCAGCGCTGCCCTCGAATACAAGACGATTTAAAATAAATTAGGTGTAAAATTTAATTAACGCGGACATGCCAAGGTTTTTTACGACATATGTAACACAGATCGCCTTAAAATTTTAAACATAGATCTTATGTCATGCGCCATATAAAAGAGGGTGTGCGCAAAACGCTAATAAAGTTAAATACTTACGCAATAAGTTGTCCTTGTAATCCACGAGTAAACTACTTATACCCGTTAACTCACATTTGTCCTCTTCTCGGACACCCACTAATCACCACCACTAACCAGGAAGTGAATCTTGTAACAACATATCCCCGTTTAAAGGGGTTCCTTCGACTGAGGGAGAAAAGTAAGTGGTGCGCACCCTTCGAGTAACTAAATCCAACTCGATCCCCGCGCAACTCGGACTCGTAATACCACCACTACGACTATAATGACCTTGAGCATTGTGGATGTCTAGAAGACCAACCATTTACTCGACCTAACTCAGACAACGGGGCTAATTTAAGATCGGTCTGGTTAGCTGGAACGAGCTCTCACATTGAGGGCTCAAACAGCGGTCCAGTTAAATCGAGATGGGTGTGTTTGTGATTTGAATTTGATCATCGAACAGGTCCGTTGCATTGAACGGGGATTCGACACGTGCAAGTTTAACGTGGGGTGGTTGACCCCCCTTAAAAAGAGCACGACTTTTTGACTTCTTGTAACACTTTTTAAAGGAATCCTACCCGTATAGCGAGCGTGATATATTTATTGTATAGGGGTGTTGGCCTGCCCAATGATTAGAAAGCAAACAAAAATAGGGTAAATCATTAGCGTTAATTATTGAATATATTTAAAAGACAATTAAGAAAATTACCCGGCGATTAAATAAGAAACTAAGCAACGACGCGCTTCGCCTTTAATCGCTGATAATGAATACTAATTAAACATGTGCGCCTTGATTTTTTTGTTGTCAATCGCAAACCCCCATTGACGAACGCGCCAACTTGATCGTGCGCAACAGGTAGCGTATGATTCAAAATGTTTTCATTAGGTATTGCTCGTCACGCTTTGTCTTCGGCTTCTTTTTACGCGAGGCACCGACCTACCTCCTCTGTCTATTTCTTATTTCATCAGATACCGTAAAAGATACTTTCCGCCGTGTCAGCAAAGCTCGAATTCTCACAGTATAGCACTATCACGTCAAGTTGATGACCATCCAATCATATCATGTATTTAGACTTGGCAACGCAATAGGTCACGTTAGATCTTGGTTAATCAACCCATTGAACTCAAAAAATCCAAGCAGGCTAAGCTATACATTTTCAAAAAAACAAATTGGTTGATGGTGTTTTTAAGGATCAATCGAGTTTCTCGCTAGGGTGGAGTGATCAAAAATGAGTTGCTGACGAGTCACATTTGGAATTTTTGTTTCCATGGGAAATCGTACCAAAGACTATATCCCTTTGATCGTACTTAACTTGCACTTCCAAAGGCGACTCGACAGCAACTCATTTAATTTTTGATCGCCCGCCACAAGATTGGTTACCTACGGACTCATACGGAGATTGGTACTCTGGTGCCCACTCTGAGTAGGACATTTGTATAGATAGTGAAAAGGGGCGAAAATCGTATTATGGCCATTTTCACGCAATTTTGATTTTTTCGTCACTCTTTCCCCAAAATAACAGAGAAAAATTGCGGAAAACCTTTTTTTCCGTTTTTTATTTTTCATTTCCACAAAAATGATTTTATTTTAACGAGGCTTGAGGAAAGTACTTACACTTTTTTCAGTT